GAGTCCTACCTCAGTGAACATAGAATGACAGTGCGCGTTGTAAACATGTATTCAGAAAAGTATTTGTACAGCAGTAGTGTTCGCTCTTTCACCCCTTTTGTTTTTACTTCATACAGCCGGCCTACCCTCATTCATCAAGACCGACCCAAAAATACACGTACAGATTTTTGCCGATGATCTTAAGATGTACGCTTGCTATGGAAAAGAGGAAAGAAAGAAAGTCTACGAAGCCCTTTCTTCTTCCATGGTAAGAGCGAATTTATGGTCTGACAAGGGAACGAAGTGGCTAATCCATACAAGCTGCATACCATTAGATGCATAAAACGATGACTCTAAATCTGTCTTCCTTATCTGCAGAGCACTTTTGTGGACGAAATTATAAGCCGTTGAAGGTCATTATTCTGCTAAGAAATTGTGCTGTAAAGTGCGAACTTGCCCGTACAAAGCCATTCTCGGCTCAATTTGGACCAAAACATGCAACTAGGTCACTTCATATGACCCATACCTAGAGGTGAGCTAAAAGAGCAATAACGTGCCTAATTTCAAATTTTGTGTGCGATTTTTTCGCAGTAAAGCTGCTCATAACTTCGCCTACAAGGACGCACTGCAGATATGGAAGGCAGACTTGAAATCAGCATCCTACGCTGCATCGGATGGTATGCAGCTTATATGGATTGGCCACTTCGAATTCTGACCATTCTCTTGTGAGATGTGTCTGCCCTTGAATCTTTCAAATGCTTTGTCATTCCCTTGGGCGACACCAGCACTCACCTTAGGTCATATATCTGTGGTGGTACTGAGCTTGAGTATCGAAGCGTCGTGAAAGATTTGGGCGTTCTTGTTGATGATGCTCTCAAATTTACTGTACACTATGATTCAGTCGTCATCAAGTGCTGGCATCCTTGTTTATGCTTCTACGTAGCATCCACGGTAATGAACCTGGACTTTTTGTGCCTTTATACAAAACATGTCTTACATCATTTGGATTATGCTTCACCTGTTTGAAGTCCTTATTTGAAAAAGCATGTGGTGAAGCTCGAAAATGTTCAAAAAATTTTTACAAGGATAGTTTTTTACAGATGTTTCTCTGACCCTGAATACCCTCGTAAATTACCTTCCTACGGTGCTCGACTTGCAGTTTTAAAGCTGCGTAGTTTGAAGTATAGACGTGTTGTTAGCGACTTAGTGTTCTGTTTTCGTATCCTAAAATTAGAACGAAATTACGAGCTAGTAAATACTGGATCTTTAGGCCTAGTGGAGAGCGTACAGGTGGGTTCAATTTGCATTACAGGAAGCTAGGTAAAAAATGCTTTTTGCAACCTCCAATTCATATTTCTGCCGAACCACAAGATGGTTAAGCCTTAACCCTAAGGAAATTATTTCTAGTAAAAACCGTCCTCTTTTCGTGAAAAATTTGGCTCTATTAATGTACTGAATTATTTGCATATAGCTGATGTTTAGATTGAGTCTCTGAGCGTTCTCTTCTACCATTGGTTCTTGCCAGCTGTGTTGTTAACGTTGGCGACAACGGTTCATCGAGTCCTGCTCTTCGACCTGCGCTGATCGAAATTCTCCATCGCCGCATTTTCTTTCGTTCCGCGATTACCAAATTCTTTTTCATGTTTTTCTATTGCTTTTTTTCATATTCTTGATGTTATACTAACTTCATTAACGTTGTTATATTGCAGTTTACTAACAAAGTGGCGCGCCTATGAGCGTATTAAATAAATAAATAGATAAATGAATTTGAATATTTAAAGGATTAAAATATTTTTATACAACAAAGCAGAGTTTCCTCTGACAGGCATGATTCATCTCATAACATATAATTCTTATAATTTCAACGCACGAATGACTGCCGACTTCACAAAAAAGGTTTAAGCTTAATTCGATTAAAACCATTGCGACAGCCTCCACCAAAAGTATTAGGTTGGAAGGAAGTTCGTGAGTGATATGAACGAAATTCGGTAGCGTTTCAGTTTTATCCCGTCAAAGGCAGGGTCCAGGCAAAATCTCGACTTCTCTTTTATTGCCTTGTCCAAGCCTCTTCATGACACTGATTCCAAATATGGCAGTCGAAATGTGTAAATTCCTCAAAAACCCACGTTTTTGAGACAATTTTGTGAGAAGGCTGGACGAGTGCTCTCAATACTATCTTTGCAATCCTTGTCGAAAGCAAGCATCAACAGGTAGACACTATGTGTTCCATCCTGTTTGCCACGTAAAAACACGTCAAGGCCTGAAGAATGTTCGTTCAAGGGGGCGGGCCTTTCGTCCATTTTCTCAAACGGCCCGCCTCCTTGGACGAACTCTCCTCAGTCGTTGACTTGTTTTCACGTGGCAAACAGGATGGAACACATAATGTCTACCTGATAATGCTTGCTTTCGACAAGGACTGCAATAAAAACACTCGTCCAGGCTTCTCACAAAATTGTCTCAAAAATGGGGTTTTTTGAGGAATTCACGCATTTTGACTGCCATATTTGGAATCAGCGCATTAAGAGGCTTGGATAAGGCAAAAAAAGAGAAGTTGAGATTCTGCCTAGACGCTGCTAATAAGTTATGAAATGTGCAAGAGACTTGTTTGCAAACAAATACTTGCAAATTCAAGCAGGGAAATCAAATTCTTTTTTACACTTTCAAATTTTTTGAAAACTCAAAAATTTATTATGAGCCGTAAAAATTTCAGAAAGCGTTTCAAATAACGGAGTGCATTTTTTTGGAAAGGGCGTGGTTACCTAAGCCCCTTTTTTTAAAGAATTTTTTGTAACTCCCCCCCCTCTCAGGGCCAAAATTTTGAGACCGCCATTGTTGGAAACGTTTTTATACGAATTACACATTTTGAGGTTCAGACGAGTAAGTCGTCAAAGGGACGTCAGCATTGTTCGAGAAAGTTTGAACTTTTTCATTTAGATCTGATCTAATTAAGACTATCTAACTTGTAACAATTGTAAGATCAAAACTTGTGACGTACCAGGCAAGTTGTGGTGAAAAAGCGCTTCCGTCAAACGACGTACTGCAGCTCACTCACTTTGGACTCTGTGTAATTCTGCACTATTGGAAATAGTTCATTTCCGATACGGCGTTTCAACTTTTCTCAATCTCTTGCTATAAATCATTTTGAAAAGTATTTCACTAGCGGTGATTCGAATTTCTTCACATTTAGAGCAAGAGCGATAATGGTAGCAGTGCTTTCATTTCACGCTATTAAGACACCTCGAAAAGGTGTGACATAATTTAACTTTGACTATGTACCTCAAGCAAATTATATGAATGAGTACATACTGTAAGGAAAGAAACTAAAAAGAGAAGAAGGTGAACTGCCACTAAAACAAGTGCTTTTGCGACGCAGGTGTTCTTTAAAAAGTTGTCTCGAAGTAAATATACATATAAACAATCTTAAAGCAGTACCAGAACGATTATTCTTTCTGATCTGCACCTTGTAAACAAGTTGTGATAATGGAGTTATCAGTTAAAGATCCCGATTTCTTCAATGAGTGTCATAAAACATAATTTCAAGAAACTCCTAGAAGGGAAGTTGTTGAGCCAAAAGTTGTTCAAATATGTTGTAAAACAGGATCGAATAAATTATTCCTATAGTACAACACTATCAATGAAAATGTTATACAAATCATTTCTGCGACAATGAAACCATAGCAAATTATTTTTACTGTGGATAGCATGCAGTCATCCGATTGGGTAATCGAAATACACGATAAATTTGTTCAGCTATAGCACCAAGCTCATCTTTTAGGAAGACGAATTTACGCGCTGTGTTCACAAATCCTGCAGGCAAATCAAATAAAAAAATTGTGCTTTTGTCGATGAGACAGCGGCAACAGCGATAAAATATCTTAGGACTCTTCTCGTCTTCCGCCTTCAGACAACGTATGGTTTATTTGGGTTCCTTTCTAAAGGTGGAGAGGAAGAAAATTTTTAAGATGATACCAAACTTACTAACGACGTAGTTTGTGTACTTAGGTACATATTGTAATTAAGTGAATGTCTGAGGGACTAAAAGTGTTCACGATGTACTATCTGTCTTACAGGAAGCTTTGAATATATTTTACGTCTAACTATGTATTACAAACTGTAAAGTGATCAGCACCATTATGCTTTTTCATGCATTATATTCTTATATTTGTGAACTTCACAGTATGGTGTACTTTTCTTTATTCCTTGTGCGCAGAATGGAGCACTGTAGCTTAATTCGTGAGAAAAGAGCCAAAGATAGGGTACGGCACTTCGAGAAATAGGAACATAAAAGCAGCCGCAAGGCTATGGTCTCCTTTCATAGTTTATGTAAATTTAATTAATTATGCCATGTGACAGTACACCGGAAATTTCAAATCCAGCAATCGCATACTACAGATGCTTGATGTGTATGACTTTTGTGGGTTAGATTAATAGAATGCACTATCTTTTCCACCTTAGTGCTTACGATGATTTATTAATTGGAGTATGGCCAAATTGCGTCGCGGCTGGAATCGTAGAAGCATGCCCAAAGCCTATACATCTCGCAACAGGTACTGCTTGAACAAAGAATTATACGTATCAAACCGAAATAAAGTGTTCTTGTATTGCAGATATTTCTAGGGAATATCCTTGATGAATGTGAATTCTTCTTGAAACCCTTCCGGTCTTTTGACACATTCTAAAGCATGCTTTGGAGCGAAACTACACTAATCTAAGAAAAATCACGCACAGGATGATGCGTTGTTGTGTCGTTCGGTGAAATCAGCAATATACTATCATTGAGATTTATCTCGAAGACTTTGCTACAAGTTTCTTTATTTTATTATGGAAGCAGTCTTACACTTACAATACAACAAAGCTGAGAAACCCTTTGTGGATATTTTAAAATTCGCATAGCATTCGCATACTAAGCTTACAAATGATGAATACATACCACAGTGCCACTATTACGCCTCAAGATGAGTCATCACTTTTAACCATCGCTTTGCTATCAATGTTTGATGTATACATTTTTTTACAAAAAATTACAAGCAACAAAGTATATCTAATCCACTGGAAGACCGATGCTTATTCTTCTTTCTAAATGCACATTTGATCTTCCAAACCTGATCTTCCATCGAACCATTGCATCCAAAAAGGTAATGCCTTTTGTTTTCTAAACCAAGCAGCTTCCTCCACCGCGGCTGTTTAAACTGTAAAAAGACAAAGAGGCTGAAGATGTATTGCAGAGAAACGAAACTGAAAGCCTCGTTCAAGTAAATTTGGCAATATGTTCGAAAAGCTCAAAACTTTGTAAGAAGTATCTAGGTATAAACTCGATAGTATCTTGATAACTTATAACAGAAAACCATTTTCTTTATAAATACGAAAAAATGATAGACAATAACTTTAACTCACGTGCTCGTACAAGTCATCCCCTATCATTCCGAGGAAATTTGCTAAGGGATTTCTGTAAAAAAAGAATTCTCAAAGGATTTCCTCAAATAGCTTGATTCTGTAAACATACCCGTAAATTGAGTATTCGAATACAAGGAAACCATCATCGTGTTTTGGACTCAAAGATTCCACAATTTTCGCCAAATAGCAATTATACTCCTGAAAAAGGAAAGATTAGCGAAAGCTACTTCTCGATTACTAAACAATATTTCACTTCTTACAGATGCACATACAGTCGTTACCATCATCCACTTTTTCCGTAGGCGCTAGGCCTAATATGTCGACGCCAACAGCAGTAACTTAGAAAAATTCTTCTTTTATATTTTTGGAAAATAATAAAAAATGACTTAATGATTAGTGCCCTTTCCCTCTTACTCTCCCTTCGCATAAGCTTGAAAAGAGTAATAGTTTGAAAAGTACTGAATTTGCTCAAAAATCTTGAGACAAAAGTTTTTGTTTCTGCTTAAAAATTTTCTGGAATGACAGGAAGCCTATTTTTTGGTATTTTGGAATTGGGATGAAGAGGTAGGGTTCAAAAATGGTTGTTTTGATGTGCAAAAGAAATCCCTCCTTTTCGTTAACGACATATAACATGCATGTAACACTAGGGGCGGTATGCAACAAACGCCTGTCCAGGTAAATTACCCGGACAGGTAGTTTCCGCTTCATAGCTCGGTGCTCTGGGAATCTGTGTCTTTCCTTGTTTGTCCATCTATTGGAGGGCTCTACTACCCTAATATAGTAGCACAATGATTAGCAGCACTTTGCTGTATAAGCTGAGATGATTCGTTATCTGTATGATCCCGAAGGGGATCTTCCACTGATCACGCTCATTTTCAAAATTATTTATATCCGCAAAAAGTCAATGAAAACGTCACAGAGTTTTGCTGTACATTTATTACGACAATGCTACGCATGTTTATGAAAGAAATAAGTGAGAAATCAAGTTGACAAAATCTTCGCTGAACCTGTGCTCCAGAGGTGCGATAGTCGGAGCCGATTCCCCGCCTACCTTCACTTTTGAGCTGGTACAGGGTGACCACTTTCACTTTTGGGTTGGAAAATTTTTTTTGCTAAAGCTCAAAAGAGGAAAATAAGCAAAAGGAATGTAGAAAGTATTAAGAGCATGTATCTATGTGATGTAGTAGGTCGATCCAGGCAGTAACCGCCGAGAACCAGAATTTCGAATGATAAAATAACGAACCCCCACAATGGTCGGTCGCCTCATCGTGGCGTGGGGGCGACACTGGGTGTCGAACTGCGATGCACAGCCGAGTGTATACTCTGGTAGGGCCTCCAAAGCTGTGAAGGAGTTCGACATTTCCGGTTTCGGCCGGATGCCTAGCTAAGAACTGGCCACGCCAGATCCTCCGCCGTCTGGCTTCTTCTGGTCGCTAGGCGATCCCTCCCCGCTCCAAGCCCGGTCAGCGATCGCCCCGTGGAAATCAAGAGTAGGCCTAGTAAGCCACCTCTTGTAGGGAAAAATTCATTTTACTCCTCCAGTTAGAAGATTAGAAAGAAACCCTGCACATTGTATCCCGCCTACGGCGCCGGGTGGTAGCAAGAACGATGTTAGGGTACTCAGGGCGCCTTTCGGATTGGACAAAAACGACACGTCTGCCCGGACGACACGCCATGGAGACTGCCTCATGCTCTGCACCTACAACGCCAGGACAGTCTCCACAAACGCCGACCTCCACGCTCTTCTCGACGCTGCAGAGCACATCAACTACCACATCATCGCTCTGCAGGAAACGAAGTCCAGGAAGGAGGACGTGCGACAGATGAGTGATGGGACCCTCATCATTTGTGGTGAAAAGGTTCCATCACGAAACGTGGGAGGCGTCGGCTTTGTCGTCCATCCATCTATCGTCCATTTTGTCGATTCGCACGAGATCCTATCACCTCGACTAGGCATCCTACGACTACGCCCTCCACGTCAGAAGACCATCAGCATCATTAACTGCTACTCGCCAACATCAGCAGCTGACGAATCAGAACTAGATGCTTTCTACGAAGACGTGGAGGAGGTCGTCCGCAACGAAAAGTCCTTCTACAAGTATGTTGTGGGCGACTTCAATGCGAAAATCGGGATGCCACTATATGCCTTTATATGCCACTAGAAAAGGAATATAGGATCGGAAAGTTTGGATATGGGCTCCGAAACGAAAACGGCAACCGTCTCGTTGGGCTACTCTCCGCCGCACGACTCTTCCATGGAAACTCCATCTTCATGAAGAAAGAATAGCGCCGGTGGACTTGGGAATCGCCCAACGGAACGACTCATGCTGAGATCGACCACATTCTCACCAACCGAAGGTGGAGCTTACCCGATGTCTCTGTAGTTCCATCCTTCTGTAGTGCCTCCGATCACCGCCTCCTTCGAGCGAAGATACGACTCAGCCGAAGGCTGGAAAAGAAAGTCTGTCATAGTGCCGCGAGAAGGAAGGAAGTCGTTTATGACGGTAACAGGCTGGAAGAGCTTATATCAAGTTGTGACTGGCCCATCGAGGAGGACCCAACGTACGACTACGACCGGCTTCTGAAAGGATTGCGAGCCTGCGGAGAATGCGCCTCAGTGACTTCTGAGAAGAACTTGGACCGCATCTTGAAGGCCACCAAGGAATTGCTCGAAAGAAGAAGATCATTGAGGCAGGATCCGAATGCAACTCATCTCGAGCATTGATAACCAACACCAGTTGCAGAACAGCTTTGCAAGAGGATCTCAGGAAGTACAGGCAAGCCAAGATACTTGAAGCAGCCGAAAGAAGACGAAGTCTCAAGAAGTGCCGAAGGGACCTCTGCGAATATCACGTACCGCTGGCTGCACTACTGAACGAAGACGGGACTCCGACTTCTTTGCGATACAAGATGAAATCTATCGCGAAGAACTTCTACACCAACCTCTTCCGCTCATCAACACCCGTGCAGATGCCCGTTGTTCCCACTGGGGAAGTACCACCACGATTTCTACCTGCTGAAGTGCGCATCGCGATACAGACCATGAAGACGTCCACGGCTCCAGGACCAGATCATCTTTCCGTCGAACTTCTGCGAGCCGGAGGACACCGTCTACACGAGATTCTAGCGTCGCAATTGACATCTTATTTTCAGAAGGAGAAGATTCCCAACCAGTGGAGAACGTCAAGAACCGTCCTTCTCTTCAAGAAGGGTGAACGGGAGGATCTTCGGAACTATCGTCCAATATGCTTGCTGAGTGTGCTGTACAAGCTTTTCACGAAGATTATCCTCGCTCGCATATCAAGGACACTGGATGAAGCCCAACCCCAAGAACAAGCTGGATTTCGCAAAGGATTCAGCTGCATGGACCACATCCAGACCGTTTCGAGGGTCATAGAAGTCTGCCGGGAGTACCGACTGCCTCTCGTCCTAACCTTTGTCGACTACGAGAAAGCCTTTGACAGCGTTGAAACCAACGCCATCCTGTCTGCGCTAGTCGATCAAGGAGTGGACCCAGCTTACGTGAGGACGTTAACCGACTGCTACAAGGACTGTACAACGACGATGCAGCTATTCCATCGCCCCCTGACCATACCAATCGGGAAGGGGGTCCGACAAGGCGACACAATCTCGCCGAAGCTGTTCACCGCGGCCTTGCAGTGGGTGATGAAGTCACTGGACTGGGACGAGAGAGGCATACGAGTTGATGGGAGATTCCTGTCCAACCTTCGTTTTGCGGACGACATCGTTCTCTTCTCGAGCAGTATCACCGAAGCAGAGACGATGCTGAAGGAACTAAACGAAGTAGGGAAGAAGATCGGACTGCGAATAAATCGGAAGAAGACTCAGTTCATGAAGAACGCCCTTTGCGAAGATGCAGAAATGGAATTGGATGGCACCCCGATTATGGAGACGTCTTCCTACGTGTATCTCGGACGTTCGATGAACGAGAACGACTTGAGGGAAGAACTTAACAGGAGAAGAAGAGCAGCCTGGCCGCCTTCGGGCCTCTGAAGGAAGCCACCGACCAACTGACGGACCCGGAGCTTCGTGCCCACCTGTTCGACTCAACCGTTCTCCCGGCCCTCTGTTACGCAGCTGAGACTTGGGCCGACACTGTAGCCACGTCGAAAGCTTTACGGACCACCCACAGAGCGCTCGAGCGCAGTCTTCTGAAGATGACCCGACGCAAGCAACATCTAGTCGGACTTCGCAGCACGGATATGAGAAGAATGTCCCGTCTTCGTGACCCAGCGGAATACGTCGCGAAAGCCAAACACCGATGGGCCGGTCACATAATGAGAAGAACAGACGACAGATGGACACTAAAAACATCGGAGTGGATTCCTCGCGAAGCCAAACGTCCTCGAGGAAGACCACCGACGAGATGGGCAGACGTGTTCGTGGAACGGTTGGGCCAGCTGAGAAATCAGCTGGATACGACTTTCGCCCCTGGAACTCGTGGACGCAGCCACCGACGACGGCCAAGAAGATCGTGGATGTCTGAAGCGAGGGACAGGAAAAACTGGCGACTTCTGTACTGGGGCCCGCACGTCACGTGAGGACGGGCCATCTAAGTATCTAAGTAAGTAAAATAACGAAAAATCGTGAAAAATCATTCCACTGTTACAAATCTGCTGGCTGAAGACCTCCGCAGTTGCGACTTTATAGGTTTTTAAGGGTAAGTGTTGTTCTACCAGACAGTGAAAGAATCAGTTTGATTCGAGGAGTGGCCGCCGAGAACGAGAATTTTGAAAACCCTTAAAAATCTTCTCAATTTTAGGTTGCTTAATGACAACTGACATTTAAATTCTTATAAATCCGGACTTTAAAGGTATGTGATGTTCCACTTTATAGGTTTTGTAGGGTGAGGTTTGCCCTATCAGAATATGTCTTAGCTGTACCGATCCATTAAAACATCGCCGAGTTCCAGGCTCTCAAAAAAACGGGTAAAAAACCGTTTTTCAGCTCATAACTTCTTCAGAACTACATGAATCATGTTGCGACTTCATAGGTTAGATTCTCCTCTTCAAGAGCTTTCAGATGATATATAATACGTGGGGGATTCAATGTTTCTAGCGGCTCTAACCCGGGGTGGAGTACTCCTCTTCACTAATTCTCCACCCCGCCCATTTCAATGTATTGGCGGGAGGCCGCCAGTGGAGAATTAGTGAAGAGAGGTACTCCACCCCGGGCATATGCCGTGGGAGGCGTGAATCCCCCACAAATTATATATCATTTGAAAGCTCTTGATGAGGGGAATCCAACCTATGAAGTTGCAACATGAATTATGTAATTCTTAAGAAGTTACAACTTGAAAAACGGTTTTTTACCTGCTTTTTTAAGAGCCTGGATCTCGGCGATGTTTCAGTGGATCGGTGTAGCTGAGACATATGCTAATAGGGCAAACCTCACCCCACAAAACCTATGAAGTCGCAACATCACACACCTTCAAAGTCCGGATTTATAAGAATTTAAATGTTAGTTGTCATTAAGCAACCTAAAATTGAGAAGATTTTTAAGGTTTTTCAGAATCGTTCTCGGCAGCCACTCCTCAAATCAAACTGATTTTTTCACTGTCTGGTAGAACAACACTTACCCTTCAAAACCTATAAAGTCGCAACTGCGGAGGTCTTCAGCCAGCAGATTTGTAACAGTGGAATGATTTTTCACGATTTTTCATTATTTTATCATTCTAAATTCTGGTTCTCGGCGGTTACTGCCTGAATCGACCTACTTTCTTCGCTGTACATTATAACAAAATTTAATTAATAAAATACGTACAGTTCCGCTGAGTATTACTTCCAAATACACTATTTGATAGGCACGTTTACTTTAGATATTTATGACGCTGTATACATAAAAATATGCTTTCAATGATCCCTTTTGCATTTGTTTTGCTTATTTTCCGCGCACTAACGGCAGTGACCTGGAAGGATAGACGTTAATGCTCCCCCCCCCCGGTCGATGTTTCTGGGAGGTGAGTGTCCGGCACTACCACCTTCACTTTTGGCCGGCCAGTGGTAGCTGGGACCACCTTCACTTTTGGTGGGCCCGGCTCCCCCCATCGCACCTCTGCTGTACTCGCGAATTGGGCTCTATCGAAAAACTCAAAACTTGCACATTTCATCTGTGCTACTAAAAACATGCCTAGCATGTCGTATTAGGTCGACAGCAAAACTCTGTGACGTCTTCATTGAGTTTTTGCGGATATAAATAAAAAAAATGAAAATGAAAAAAAAATGAGCAAATGAAAAAAAAATGAAAAAAAAATGAAAATGAAAATGAGCATTAGTGGGAGACCCCGTTCGGGATAATACAAATAACGAATTATCCCAGCTTATACAGCAAAGTGCTGCTAGTCATTGTGCTACAATATTAGGTTAATAGAGCCTCCAATAGATGAACAAACAAGGAAGAACACAGAATCCTAGAGCACCGAGCTATTAGCGGAAACTACCTTTCCGGGTAATTTACCCGGACGGGCGATTGTTGCATACCGCCCTAGGTGGACAAACTTGCTTGCCAAACTTTCTTATTGTTATTTCATAAATTTAGCGGTTTACGCTGTTCCAAATAAGAAAACTTGTGAACTGTGATCTCGCATCAACATGGTATCTGACTGCGAAGATACTACCACTTAATACCTTTATTCAACACAATTCCATGTGTCGAGCTTTTCAATATATCTAAATCTTACAAAATTTCACCCGACTTTTGGGCAGAACAATATAATTTCGCTTTCAAATATCGCCAACATCCTTGTGCAAGTGTTTTGCAAATTCCTGCTCCTTTTTCCTCCGGCTGTATACCGGCATCAAACATATCCCAGTCAAAGTCGATAGTCAATTGGAGCTACATGGCTCTGCCACAGAAATATGCAGAATGCAAATCAAAACACTTTGGTCAAAACCCTTATTCTCAAGCTCAAATGTTAATATATTCGCGAATTACTTGTAAACAAAATTAAACAGCAAATCTCAACTCAGGTCTTTTTGATTGGCTTTGTATAACGTTAAGACAGTGTTTTACGATACCGCTTTCATATGCCACGCGAGACGATTTTTAACGAACAACAGTTGGATATGCCTTTAGAGGCAGTGTCTCGGCAGAATTTCGCTTTTCAGTTCTTCACCTTTTCGGAGACTTCCCACTATAAGAAATCCATTTCTGGGCTTTTCAGCGCATAAAATATCGAAAATATGTTTTCTCTGAAGCTTTCTAGGTTCGCATTCAGTGAAGGTACGCAAGAAAAGTCGCGCCCCACCTCCCCCGGTTCATGTCCCGCCCACGCCCAAGTATGGGTTCGCTGTGGCGGTGAGGCCCCAAAAAAGGTGGAAGTTTAACAAACGAAATTCTGCCGAAACACTGCATTTGAAGAGAATGGTGTTTTTGTTGTACAGCAGTATGGTAGAAATTTACCCGTTTGTGGATATTTTCTTTATTGGCGCTCAAAAGTTGAGCATATAAACTAACCAGTTTCGTTTTTGAACTCATTTCCTCCAGAACTTCGTTGAATCCGGCTCTGAGTATCTCGTTGAACTCGTACAAACTTGAATTCTGTCCATAACAGGAACTTGCTGTTTTTGGCATAGAATATGCTGTTGCAGAAAGCATCTAAAGATTTGATCAAAAAATTTGGATATGGCAATTTAATTAACTTACAGTAATTGTCACGTAAAAAAGCAGCATGACTGGATTACTTAGTGCATCATAACCTTTATGCTGATATATGACGATAGATCTGTTTAATCTTTTGCTTGAACAGCTTATGTACTATGTAATTGTAACAGGCAGGTACATCAAGTGATTGGAACAACTGGGATTGTTGTATTCATGGAAGAAAAATCCGTTTTGGCGTTGGTGTTGACTATGGTCATATGACAAAGGACCGAAGTAGAAAAGAACATATTATAGCGTTATATAGCCGGGCAGTTTTTCAAACTACAGAGGTAAAACTCAGCCGTGTCTGAAAAAAAATTTTCTATGATATGAGAAGGAAAGATATATCATAAAAACTGAGAGTGGCGCTCTCGTACAACAGGGCTATCCATAACAATTTTCAGTACTGCTAACTTTACGTTTTAATGGTTTTGGAATTCAGGCTCCCATGAAAAACTGCACTTGAACAAAAAAATGGAGCTCCTGAAATTATGGAATTCTTTCAGCAAGAAAGATTCTCTTTCTTCAAAAAAAGGGGCAAAGACGTGGGCTGATGTTAGGTTGATTCAAGACTAACTCAAAAAATGTCTTGCTTTCTTGTTAGCAGTAGCGCAACGAGAGGGAGCGGAATCCCCCTCCCCTCAAAATTTTTGGAAATTACTTACATGCGTCATAAAAATGTGCAAGTGTCTTTTTTGAGCTTGCAAATATGAAAATATTAGGTTGTAACAGAATTAATGCAGGTTTTGAATTCCAACCGCAATAAGTCATACACTTCTCATTTCCAAGTAGGTTGCAAAACACCATTCGATAGAGCAAAGCAATCCCCATAAGGTGGCAATCTCGCTTTAGCAACAACTCTGATCCACCACAAGTTTCAGGCCAAAAATCAAAAAGATTCAACTGTCCGAAAAGTTGAGAAAAATCGTAACTCAATTTATAAAAAACCTACAAAAATTCTAACTTGCTCACGTAAACACTATTCACATAAGACACCTATACACTTCTTTGCCGTATTTTTTCTCTGTTAGAAATCAAGAAAACGGACATTTTCGTGCTTTTGCCAAAGACCGTTCCCACATGAGTAGATGTAAACTACAACCTGTAGAAGTATAAACGTAAGTTTTCAGCTCTCTACAAGCTTTAGTTCTCGAAAAATATCGAATACAGTTTTCGCTAGTCATATGGTCCAAGCTAAAATTCAAATTTCTCGAGAACTAGAGCTTGTGGAGAGCTGAAAATTTACGTTTGTACTTCTACAGCTTTGTAGTGTACAACCACTCATGGGAACGACACAGCATCACTTTGGCAAACGCACGAGAATTTCCGTTTTCTTGATTTCTAGCAGAAAAAAAATACGGCAAAGGCGTGTATAGATGTCTTATGTGAATAATGTTTACGTGAGCAAGTTAGAATTTCTGTAGGTTTTTTATGAACTGAGTTACGATTTTTCTCAATATTTCGGACAGTTGAATCTTTTTACTTTTTAGCTCGAAACTCGTGGTGGATCAGAGTTGTTGCTAAAGCAAGATTGCCACCTTATAGAGATTGCTTTGCTCTATCGAATGGTATTTTGCAACCTTAGAAATGAGAAATGCATGACTTATGGCGGTTGAAATTCAAAACCTGCATTAATTCTGTTACAACCTAATAACTTGAAAATTTTGAATTTTCAAAATAATTTTCAAAAAAGGTGGCGTCACTGCGACAACGCCTCCTTTTCCTGGAATTTTGAGAAGCATCTCGCAAAAACTTTGGGAGTGTATGGCCAACGTTTCGCATCATTTTTCGAGAGATTCTTTGTCCCTCTCTCCTCTCTACCTGAATGAAATTCTTGAAAATTGCCACTGCGCTATACGAGGAAAGAGGGTCAAAAAGTTGTTTCTAACAAGGGAACTTCGCTCGGTCGAAGTGACGAATTGGAAGATGATGTATACCAATGGATAGAACGTAAAACACTGTTCTCAAATGTATCTTCAATATCTGTGACGCGTTTTTGTATTTGGAGTTATAGCCTTTTTTGTACATATAATAAGTATGATCTAGAAAAGAAATGACGACCTGTAGATAAACAACTTGGTCGGAGAACTCTCGAAAACGTTCGAATGAACTTAAATTAGACCTACAATGCTGTCTAGGTGTTTGCACACTTTGTATAGAAATCATCATAATTTTGCTACTCAAAATGCATGAAAATTCGGGATTAGAAAAACTCATAAATTTTTTCAGAACAGTGCGTCGCAGATGTAGAAGATATATCTGAGATCATTTAAGCTCTGTCCATTGGTGTAGATCACCTTCTGAATCGCCATGACTAAGCGAACTTTCCTTGTAAGGACTTACGCGTAAATAGAAAACAAAGGAAATTTCTTTGAGAAGCAGTGTTTTCTCATCAACGCTGTCTTTCCGAGAAGCAGCTCACATCTGTCAATGTTTGGATATGCTCAATGCAGCTTTCAAGCGAATGAAAACTCTTAGAAATGGCTGTTGGATTTGACGTATGAGGTTGAGTACGGTACAAAACACAAATAATTTGGTAATCTGTCTCTGTGTCTGCGATTCACATACTCATAAGAAATTTGCCAGTGTCTGGTCTCAAACGAACTTTTGAGTGCGCAAGTCTTTTGTTCTCATGTGAAAATAGTCACGAACACCTTCCTTTCGCTCTAACAGAGAAATGGTGTCCGATTATTTTGAAATTAAGCATGGCTTGCGCAATAAGACCTTGCGCCCAGCCAGCTCTTGTTACAAGTCCTAGCTTTTGTAAGAAGATAACTAATGATTTGCAGATACGAAAAGTAAATTTGAAAGTATGCATCAAAACCTCAACAGGGAGTCGCGATCAGATTAAGGATCTTACGAATCATCTGAAGCCGTACAATGAAGTAAGCATGTATGTAGAAGTATGTAGAAGTTTATAAGACTGTATATTTGATTAGAAGAAATCAGCAGCGTTGAGCGTTTGTTTTGGCCACGCAGACGTTATTTCACCAAAACCACTGTTTTTGCTATTGCAATCACACCTTTATTTGGTTTGTAGCTCCACAGCCTCAAGATCAGTTCTACAAAAAAATCCAAAAACTTTGGCACAGAAACATGAGCACGCAAACAATGCAGCTGCTTCATATCAAGTTTGCGCAAGAGAGAAGCTGAGTTTTGAGGCTCGAAATCGTGCTAACTCTGTGGTAATGTTGAAACTTGGTTGAAAAACGGCATGAAAACGCAACGATTTTTCAAGCGTCAAACAAAATACCTATCGAAAAAGCTTATTTTATCTCATATCTTGGTAGAAGCTAATTAGAGCGCGTAAACCACAGAAGAACGGATGTTTTTGGAGCAAAATCACTCCAAAGGCATTTAAAGCCTTCTGAAAAAAGTAACGGTCCTCTTTTTGAACTGCACTGGGTTCGGTGTGTAGCAGATATGTCAGACTTTATAACTGTAACTCTACAAAAAATTTGGACTCAAATGATTGCAATCTTGAATGAAAAATGGACCTTTGTTTGAGGTGTTCGTATAATTATGAACCGCTAAAAATTCGCAGTAGACGCAAAGACACTCCTACAATTGACATTGATTTCCATTCTTATGGATCATATACCGTTTTCGGCTGTGTTCTATCGCGTGGTGCCAAGGCTTTTTGAGTTTCTCCTAAAAAGTTCGGAAACTTACAAAATTTTGGGTGTTCGTATAATTATGAACCGCACTTTATTTTGCGTTGTAACTGTTCATTCATTGAATTTACCCTCATAAGAACTACCTGTTTCACAAGCTAACCAAATTAGACGGGACGATGAACTATTTTCGCGGCCGCAATGCAGTATAAACCGACGTGCCTGAAACATATAGAGCTGGGATGAACTAATCAGACATGGACAGGGCTCAGCAAAGGTGGCGTCTTTACATGCTGGATATCGTTATTTGAGAGGAAAGCAAAAGGGAAATCGTAAAGTTTCCAATGGATGCGACAAAGTATTGGCAAGCACAATCCTTACTCTGAACCCGAATTTTGGGCTCTAACGTCATTTCACCAGTATCAAGTAAACAAACACGTTACAAACAAGATTAGTGCATAAACTTGTGTGCACACGATCCCAGCGTGTTGGGACATGATCATACACAAAAAGATAAAAAAATCAGTTATTTATCAAAACTAAGCAATATTGACCCAGCAAATTTTGTATATTGCTTCGTGACAATGATCAAAATAAAACTATGAATTTATGAAAAAATTACGTGAAGGAAAGGAGTTGCAAGTGTTTTTCTAATTTACTTTGCTCCCGCCAGCCTAGGAGCATCCTGACTGAGGTTGCGAGGGACCTCACATAATTTTTGAAAATTTTCACGTAAATCTCTTCTTTAATTAAAGTTCTACATATTAGCACTCATTCTGACTCAAGTTTCGTCCCCTCTGCTTTTCTATGTCCCCTATGTTTCGCTGCACATCATAAGCCGTACTTCTACAGGTATCACAAAAGGTTTTTCGTAAACTTCTGCAATGTCGAAGGAACTTTGTTTCCAACTTTTTCGAATGCCACCTTGTGCAGGGCCCTGGAAATGGATACGAAAGTATTAGATCCTAAAGTCAAGAATCTAATTTAGTACTCGAACTGTTGCAAGTAGTCCTGACCATCCATCTCTGAGATAACACATACTTTCAACTTCCTTCCCACATCATTTTCCGCATAGCTTTTTTTTCTAGCATATGCTCTTCCTGCTATTGGCAGCACTCTGCACAATGTGAGTGGCTTAAAAATGTTTCCAAGCAAAAAGAAAGGAATGAGTCAAGTGGAATTTCGGTTCTGATGTCCGAAACATAAGCTTGTACATATGTTTACGCGACAAAGAGCAATCACTGTCTTTTCCCCACCTACGGCATTGTACGAGGTATTTCAAGCACATTAGTTGGCAGCTACTATTCTGGGTCTGTTAGTGTTGAAACTAGCCTAAAGACCGCGCTCACTTCATGTAGGCTCAGTAGGAGAACACAAATATTATACCGCACTTTCACGGAGAGTTTATTGGAATCT